CCACAAACGTGCCCTTTCTTTTGGAAGCCGTGAGCAACAAAACTAACAATAGAAACACGGGCTCATGTTTTTAAAGACACTTTTTGAAAAATGCCAAGCAAGTCTGAATTCTGAGCTCAAAGAGACACAGGCTCACAGATGTCTCTACTGGCCCAGATTTTTCAAATGGCACAAACAACAGACAAGTAGCACACCGAAATAACACCTTGATTTCAGTTGGCACCTTTGTTCCAAGGACCCCCGGGTGCTTCACTTGTCTGAATGCCTGGTTGTCCTCAGAACTCCCTGTCCAGAGGGGCCAGCAGCAATTTTCCTTTCTGACGGGGAGAGCCAAGGCCGAGGGGAATTAAGTGGCTGGTCTGAGACTCAGCTGTTATTCTCAGAACTAGGAGCAGGAACAAATTTCTTGATTCGAAGGCCACTCACTGTCTTATTGCCAGATAAGTTTGGGAGGTTTGAGTCAAAGACTTTACTGTCAACCAGTACTTGAATTAACTGTCCTAGCTTATTTGTGAGAGCAAGTAAGCCCATCAAGTTATGGAGGCTGGGGGTGGGGGGAGATTACGGAAAAAACACACTGCTGCTCATTCAGAACTGACTGACAGCTGACCCTCCAGCAGGTTTCTGAGACTGTAAATTGCATGAGAGGACACTGCCCTGTGGAGCAGCTGGTGGATTCGAACCACCAAAGAGGCCTGACCTTTGGGTTAATGGTATGGCTCCCTATGCACCGTGGCCATGCTAACACCTGCTGATGCCTCCTTATTGGCCTGCGGTGGTGATGGTGACTACCACCAGTAGCCCTTGGTGTAATCCAACCTCTTGCCAATTTCTGAGGAAATTTGTTTTCTTCTTTGCTCTGGGATGTTGGCAGAGTTCAGGAGATTGGCTTTAGTTCTCTAGTGTCTCCTTAACAGAAGAGCACAAGGGGATGCCTTTAATAAGCAGAAATTTATTCTCTCAGTTGAGGAAACCAGAAGTCCAAATTCAGAGAGTCCGAGTCTGGCTCTGATTCTCATCTCTTTTCAACACCTGTGGGCTTGGTGATCGTTAGAGACCTCCATAAATGTTTGCTGTAGCCTCTCCTTGCTCACTGCTGGGGCCATTGGGTCCAAAGGGCATAGCTCTTTTTTGGTTATAGCAGAATGAACAGGTGTATCTCTGAAAAGGTGCAGCCTGAATGCTCCTGGGAGGCAAAGATGGCAAAGCTTTGTCCTTCATACTTTGGACTTGTTGCTAGGAGAGGCTTGGAAAGGAGTATTAGGCTTGGGAAGGTGAAGGACCAGTAAAAGAGAGGAAGACCCCCAAGGAGATAGATTGTCACCGTGACTGTGGCAGTGGGCATACATGTACCAGACATGGTGAGGATGGCACAGGATAGGACAGGATTCAAGTCTTTTGTTCATAGGTCGCCATGAGTTGTACTGGACTCCACAGCATCTACCAATAACAATAGGTCCCTGTCTACACTTCATTCTCTCTTCTTCTATTTCTTGTAAGATAAAAGGTGATTAAGGCCACATCCCAAAGTCATTCTTCTTATATGAGATTAGGTCTTTGACCTGAGTTAGACTATTGCATTCTACACTGTTTGGCCACAGGTCACATTGTGGGGATCATCATTCATGTTATTGCATAACTGCCATATTATATAATTTGAGGACTAAAGTTTGTCTGATTTAGATCTTCCTGATCACTTGCTATGCATCAGAGAGCTGGACAATGAATAAGGATGACAGAAGAAGAATTGATGCCTTTGAGCTGTCATGTTGGAGAAGAGCACTGAACATTCCATGGATGGCCAAGAGAATGAATAGTTGTATCTTGGAGAGGGTGCAGCCAGAGAGCTCCATGGTGGTAAAGACGATAAAGCTTTACCTCACATACTTTGAGCATGCTGCTAGGAGGGGCTATTCCTTGGACAGGAATGATGCTTGAAAAGGCAGAGGGTTGGTGAAGGAGAGGAAGACCCTCAACCAGGTGGATTGACATAGTGACTACTACCACAGTGGGTTCTAGTGTGTCAGGACGTGTGAAGATGGCACAGGATAGGACAGAGTTCAGATCTGTTGTTCATAGTTGTTGCTATCGGTCATACGCAGACTCGATGGCACCTAACAACAACATATCAGTACATAACTCCCAAACTACATCATTAATTAAATGCCAAACCACTGGAAATCACGGTCCAGTTACGTTCACACTTTTTTTTGTGGGGACACAGTTCAACTCATGATAAAGTTGAAGGGCCTGTAAGTTACAGATATGCCTGTCTTCAGGTAATACCCAATATACAGTGTATAGGCAAAAAAGACTTATTTCCCTAACACAGCAAGAGTGTTTTCAGGAGCTTCCAGCTGACCTTGTTTCAGAGCTGACATCTCTCTGATGCCTTTTCCCCCTTGCCTGCAAAGTGGCTGCTGCAGCTCCAGGTATCACATTCACTTTCAGGGTATGAAAAGAAGGGGGAAATAGTATTATTTATAAACTACTCTTTTGATCAAGGAAAAAAAAATTCAGAATACCCTAACAGACATTCAGTTATGTCTCGTAAGCAACGTGTAATTGCAAGGCAAGCAGAAGAGAGTATTTTTGCTGTCTTTGAGTTGAATGTTGGCAAGAAGAAAAACAGGCCAGGGAATAAGTGCTGTGCTAGGAACCAGCATTCTCTATCACAGAGATAGTTTTGGGGTTTGTTTTTGTTTTTGGTTTGTTTTTTTTTAAGACAATAAATTTACACTCCCATAGTTTGGTGCAATGTGGTGTTTTTTTCTTTTTTGATTTTATATTGATTTGCATACTAAATTAATATACATTGTGTGATTAAACCAAGCTACTCCTTGGAGGCAAGGATTCTGGGGCTTCATCTGACATACTTTGGACATGTTGCCAGGAGGGACGGGTCCTTGGAGAGGGACATCATGCTTGGGAGGGCAGAGGGACAGCGCAGGAGGGGAGGACCCTCTATGAGATGGATTGATTCGGTGACTGGGGTAATTGGGATGGGTGTGTCAGAGGCAGTGCGATTGGCGCAGGATAGAGCAGGGTTTAGGGCTGTTGTGCATAGGGTCGCTATGAGTCGCAAACGACTCGACGGCATATAACAACAACAACAACATTGTGTTTCACACATTCTTTTATTCACATTGTATTTCATATGATCATTTATTTATATACATTGTATTTTGTAATCTTAATCACCATTGATCTATGTCTACTATTTCCCCCGTCTTTTCAGCTCTCCATTGAATCTTTCCAAATTCTTTCACCTGCTCCCTCCACCCACTAAACTCTGTTATCCTACTGATTCCCACCCACCCACCCCTGTTGCCATACTTTGCCCTCCTGTCCCCATCTCCTTCCCCTGACTCAGTGACCAGAGAAATGTAGATCTGTCAGAGACGATGACATTGGCTCAGGACAGGGCAAGTTTCAGAGCTAATGTACATAGGGTCACTGTGAGTCACAGGTGACTCGACAGTACATAACAACAACAACAACAAACGAGCTATTTTTCTATTTTTAAAATAATGGCCTTATGCAGTATTTGTCCTTATGAGACTGAGTTCACTCAGCATAATGCTCTCTAGACTCTCCCATGTTACATTGTATTTTACTGTACTATCATTGTTCCTTAGTGCAACATAGTATTCCATTATGTAACTATACCACAATTTCTTATCCATTCATTTGTTGATGCATTTGTATTGTTTCTATTTTCTTGTTATTGTAAATAATGCTGTTATGAAGTTAGGTGTACAAAGCTCCATTTGTGTCTCAGTTCCATTTTCCTTGGAGTATATTTCTAGCAGTGGGATAGCTGGGTCATGTGGTATATCTCTGTTCAGCTTTTTGAGGAAACACCAAATTGGCTTCCAGAGTGGTTGTAACATTTTACAATCCTGCCAGCCAGCCATGAGCATTCCAGTGTCCCCACATCGTCTCCAACATTTATTGCTTGCCATCCTATCAAACTTTGCCACTGCTACTGGAGTGAGCTGGTCTCTCATTGTACCACAGAGATCTTGAATTAAGTGAGTGAGAGAAAATTCAGTTCCCTGACCAGAAATTATCATGTAGTAAAACTCATTCAGTGAATGCAATTCATCAATGGCACAGGTTTAAAAACTGAGGCTGAAGGTATGTATTCATGAAAGAACCTTAAAATTATTTTGATGGTAAAAAAGGGGAGAGGAAAGCAGCACTAATGAGCTCTGACTCTGGCCTAGGTAGTAAGTGGTTTATACATTTCGCCCCAAGCCCCATTTTTAGTGTGGACTCTTAACAGTCCCTGTAAGGCACTTAGGGTGATGAGGAAGTGGTGTGGTGCTTTGGCCCCCACACAAGAGGAAGCCTGCTGTCATCAGGTTGATTCTGACTAAGGTGATCCCATATACATCCACATTAAAACTGAGCTCCCACGGTTGTCAGTGACAACTATTTTGAAAGATCACCAGGCCTTCATTCTACAGAGGTAGATTTGAACTACCAACCTTTCAGTTAGCAACTGAATGCAAACTGGTTGCCACCCAGGGATCTAAACCTGTCTCTGTAGACTTGATTCTTATTCATGCTAGCCCCATCGCATGCTTCAGAATATAACTGCATTCCATACGGTTTGCAGTGGCTGACACCTTTATGGAAGTAGATTGCCAGGCCTTTCTTCCACAGTGATTCTGGGTGGATATTAGATATTAGATATTAGCTATCAACCTTGGGGTTAGTAGCTGAGCACAAACTGTGCCACCCAGACATGAGTGAGAAGATCTCTGGAGGAGTGGGCCAAGGGCTTGGATGGTGGAGGTGGAGAGAGGAAGTCTGCCCCTCCTCTCTTGGCCTACCCTTTCTTGTTTCCCACCTCAGCACTGCCGAGGTCCCACTGGGGCCTCTTCTGATGTGGGAAGGAGCAGCTCTGCTGTCTGGCTCCCTGGGCCTCGCTGTGGTCCTCACCCCTGGCTCCTAGTCTTCTCAGACTATAAGACACACTCTTTCCTTTCCAGGTTCCCCAGATCTACTGGGAGCTCTCTTCTAAGCGGGTCCTTCTGATGGAGTTTGTGGATGGTGGACAGGTCAATGACAGGGACTACATGGAGCGAAACAAGATTGATGTCAATGAGGTAAGGCCTGGGGCCCAGGAGCTGCTGTATCTGAGGGCAGGGGCTCAGCCCAGTGGTCTGGCTCCAGTCGATGTGGCCAAGATGAGGTGTTGAGTCTGCTCCCACAGCATTGAAATCAGGGCTGGGTGTGAAGGGTCTGGAAATCTCAGAGCAGCAATAATCCAACCCTGTGCCTGTCTTCAAATGTTCATGCTTGTAGTGCATTGTGGGTGTAGGCATGTGCCGAGCCTCAGGATGAACTCTGGGATGCTGCTGGAGCCTTATTTTCATTTGATGATGTGAGAAAAAAAATTAACAGTATTTACTTAAAAAAACACAACTATATTTTGGAGCAAAAGGAAACTTGATATGATGTTTCAGATAGAGATAAATTTTCTGTGCTTCCTATAGCCTCTTTACCATGGCACAGGATCAGACATCTGTTGTTCACAGGGTCGCTATGAGTCACCTTGACGGAGTGGCACCTAAGAACAACTCCTTCCACATGTTAGGAAAACAGACAGGTAGAATTGAGGGCCTGCAGCCCGAGTCTGGTTGGTTGGCCTCATTTAGCTCCGTTAGCATTCCTTGGTCATCTGTGAGGCTCGGTCTGTTTTAGATACTTGAAGTTGTGACAAGGCCCTATCCTCAAAGAGTGTACCATCTAGAGGATGACCCTTCAGAGACATATAAAATGACAGCTGTAATAAACGCTAAGAAGTGTGGTGACGGAGCTTGGAATAAAGTGCCCTTTATTCCAACTCAGGAGACAGCTTGTAATTCAGCCAGGTAAGGCTGGGTAGGAGAGAAAGGGTTTAGGGAAGGAGTGAGGGGACAGCATAAACCCCATTTTTTTTTTTGGCACATACTGAATAAATGTTTTAATTGTTTATTATTTCCATAAGCAGCTCCTAAGAAGTTATATTTTCTTTTTTTATTATTATTAAATTTTATTAGCTTTAATGAACATTTACAGAGATTTTGGGTTTTCATTCATTCATTGTTGCACCGTTTTCTCTACCCTCCTCCCCAGTTCGTTTTTCTTTCTCCCCCCCCCTTTGGATGTCTGTTTTAATTGTCCAATTGCCACAGTGCTTGTCAAAGCGAGTTCTGATTAATCTCCTTTGTCAGTGTGTCCTTTGCCATTCCCTATCACTCCTCCCTGAGAGAGACTTCACCCTGATTCATAAGGAAAAGGGGATGGCATATTCTCTTAGCTACTTCCTGCTGAAAAGGGATGTTGTAGGTTTCAGGATAAACCCCATTTTAAAAAAAACCCCATTAATACCAGAAGCAGAAGCGGGCCATAAAAATTCTTAGCTTAAAGCAAACACAAACACGCCAGGTAAAGTCTTATCTGTACTTGCAAAGTAAAGAATTAACTCGTGTCTACTTGACACAAAAAAATAAAGGCAGGCAAAGTAGCCAGCCCATCAAAAGCCAACCCACATGACTGATCCCCCAGCCCACTAGCCATGCTCCCAATCACCCTGCCCCAACAGTAGCACCCAGAAAGGCCTTAAAAACAGTTGGGTGGGGGAGACTTTTTCCCTTGCCACCTTCCTACTGAGGGAGAGAGGCTCCCCATGTGGAATTATTCTGGAGAATAAAACACTCTTTTATTTACATGCATGTAATTTGCATCTCCTTTGAGGGGCATTTCCTGGGCAGAACAGGAGGTGGCCTGTGAGTAGGGCCATGATGGGCAGGGAGCTCTTCAGTGAACTTGGGAGATGTTTCAACCCATGTGGTGGAAAGAGAAGGACATATAATTCCCGACTATTACACTGCTACGATGGGATCCTTCAGCTTCCTCTGGAATGCCTCCAGGGACAGGGAATTCATTACCTCTCTACTTTGGAGACTAGGGGAAGCAGTTCTACTCTGAAAGGTGGGTTCTCTTATTTTGTTTGAACTGTCATGTGGAATGTTTGGTTGTTTTTGATTTAAGCCTCTTGTTTAGAGTCAACACCACCTGGGAAGGGCCTTTGTATTTAAAAGTAGGTTGAGCTGTAGGCCCTCAGGCCTAGTGTAATTATAATTTAGAAGAATAGTCTTCTTAGTGGTGCAGCACTGGTTTGTCAATTTGCTGTACTGAGGTAACCTGGAATGGCTGTGTTGCTGAACTCTGTGCCATTGGTGTGTCAGATGGCATAATGGTTACCCATGGTGGACAGTGTTTGGTGGAACTCCCAGATTAAAACGTGTTTGTGGGCAGGAGAAAAGTGCAACAGTGAATGACTGGAAACCCCAAGTCTCTGTAAACTTTAATTAAAATTAATAATAATAATAACCCCCCCCAAAAAAAAAACCCAACCCACAAAAAATATGTTTGGAAGCAGGAGTAGTATCTACTTCCTAAACAACATACCTCTGGAAACTCTGTGAACTTCTTTTAAAAATTTTTTTTAATATTTTTCCCCATTCATTCACTGTTACAAATTTTCCTCCCTGTCCACCCCTCCCTCCAGTTCACTTTTCTCTTTGCAAAAAGAAAAAAATACTTTCATTGTTATGCAATCCCTCCCCCAAGTCCACTTTACTATGCAGCTCTTATTCTGGACTCTTGTCGTGTAAATAATACCTAATCATATATCCCTTTTAAACAGTTTTTTTCCCTCATCTGTTTGAATGCATCATTTATTTATGTACATCATTTATCCCCTCTCTTCTTAGTTTCTCCCCAACCCCGATCTCAGTCCTGTTTTCTAACAGTGGCATTATGCAGTATTTGTCCTTTTGTGACTGAGATATTTCACTCAGCATAATGTCCTCCACAGTCATCCATTTTGTATAATATTTCATGAGTTCCTTATTTTTCAATGCTGCATAGTATTCCATTGTGTGAATATACCACAGCTTCCCTATCTCTTTGTGGATGGGACTTGAGTTGTTTCCAACTCTTTGCTTTTGTGAACAAAGCTGCAATAAACATGGGTGTGCCTATTGTGCCCACAAAATGCCCCTCAAAGAAATCCAAAAACACGTTTGAAATTTCAAGAGTGTTTATTATATTATTTCCACACGTGGAGACTTTTCTGCTTCCTCAGGAAGGTGGTGAAGAAAAAAAGCCCCGAGTTTCCTCTTCCACTTGCTTTTATAGCTCTTTTGAGTGCCCCTGTTAGGGCAGGGGGATTGCGATCATGGTTGGTGGGTTGACTTTTGGTGGGCTGGCTACTTTGCCTGCCTTTACTTCTTTTGTGTCACGTAGATACTAGTTAATTCCTTACTTTTCAAGGACAGACCAGGCTTTACCCAGGGCACTCGTGTTTGCTCTAAGTTAAGAATTTTTATGGCCCGCTTCTGCCTCTAGCGTTAATGGGGGTTTATAAAAAATGGGGTTTCTGCTGTCCCTTCAGTGCATATATCTGCTTGGGTGGCAGTTCTGGTTTCTTTAGGGTATATTCCTAGTAGTGGAATTTCTGGGTCAAATGGTATTTCTATTTCCAACTTTTTGAGAAAGCACCATACTGCCTTCCAGAATGGTTGCGCCATTTTACACTCCCACCAACAGTGAATAAGAGTTTCAATTCCTCCACAACCTCACCAGCATTTGTTGTTTGCTGCTTTGTTGAATTTTACAATTGTTACTGGAGTGAGATGATATCTCATAGTTGTTGTTGCTGTTGTTGTTGTTTTATCTCATAGTTGTTTTGATTTGCATCTCACTTAGAGCTAGGGATTTTGAGCATTTCTTCACATACTTGTTCATCATCTCAATTACTTCTTTGGTGAAGTGTTTGTTCATATCCTGTACCAATTTTGCAGTTGGGTTGTTTACCTTTATCTTGTTGGGTGCTTGAGTATTCTATAAATTCTAGATATAAGCCCCTTATCAGACATGTTATTACCAAATATTTTCCCCCAGTCTGTGGATTTTCTTTTTACCCTGTTAAAGAAATTTTTGGTTGTGCATAGGAATTTTATTCTTAGAAGGTCCCATTAATCTATGTTAGCCTCTCCTGGTTGTCGGAAATTCTGTGAACTTTGAGAAATGATGATAGTTATAGAAAGACTGTCTTCAGTCTTTTTTTCATAGGGTTGCTATGAGTTGTGCTTGGCTTGAAGATGGGAATCAACAACAAAAACAACAAGAACAGGGTCCATCCCAGTGCAAACCACTTAGCATTTATTGAATGCTTACTGACCAAGTGATTGAGTCAGCAGCCAGTCAAACAGGTTACCCTTTCCCCTGGGCATCTCTCTCTGTTAACCCAAACACAATGTAGGTGCTTGGAGAGCCTTTAACTTTCAGGGTTCAAGGGGTAGAGCAGAATGCAAGGGTGTTACCGCTCTCTCCCTGGCACTGCCAGTCCTGGCTGCTCAGGCCTGGGTAGGCGTGTAGCCCTGAAACCCAGCACTCCCCAGGTGTAGGGTCAGAGCCACCCTGCGCTCAGGGACTGCCCCCCCCCAGCACCTCCCCTCCTTGTCCCTCCAGCTAGGACAAGCAATGCCCCATCTTTCTTGTCCTATTTGAGCCCTCATAGCTGAGTAGCCACAGAGAGAACAATTGTGTGAAATCAGTGGGATTTAATCCTTTTGCCCCATGGAAATTGGACACCGTCCCCTCCCTCTTCTTGCTCTCTCCTTTCCCTGTCACAGAACAGGCATCAGATAGAACAGCCAGTGGCCACTGTTAGGACCACAACAGCCAGCTCTCAGCTTCACAGATACAGGAGGAAAAAGAGGGCTTCTGCCCCCCTGGGAGCTTTAGTGGTGTTGTGAGTAATAGCATTCAGCTGCTAACCAAAAGGTCAGCAGTTCAAACCCACCTGCTGCTTATTGGGGGAGAGCCCAGGTCTGTGTCTGTGAAGATAACAGCCTTGTAAACCCTACAGACAGTTTTACTTTGCCTCATACCCAGCACACCAACAAAAACCCGCTACCTACATGTCATCAAGTCGGAACAGACTCAAAGCTGACCCTCCAGCAGGTTTTCAGAAGTTGTAAATCTCATGGGAGGAAACTGCCCATCCTGCAGAAGGATTCGAACTTCCAGTGAATGGAATGGGTTATGGGCT